TGGCGCACATCCAGAGAATCAATCAACAACGAACAATCCTATCTGGGTTTAATTGTTTGCACTGGGGTACTGTTATAACGGAATTTCTTTGGATTATCCGTGGTATCCGCGAAAAAACAATATCTCGGATAGAAGTGAAAACAGCTGTACTCCTGGTATACCGTACCACACCTACAGATACTGTACCAGAAGCCTTGAATCTCACTAACAAAAGCAATATTCCTAGCTGACGCGCACGAGAAAAAGGCTGAACGAATCTGCCAGAGACAGGAAGCAACCACATTAAGGAGGCACGGGTGAGCTCCAGCGCGATAGCTCTTGAATTATTGACATGCTTACGATGATTCATTGCCGACACTCACGCAGGTATTACCAATTATTACAAAGCTTACTCGGCATAGTTTTGCTCCCACACTTACCTATTTACTTTGTATGAGGAAAACGTAATGCATTAGCTTACTACCTGAAATGCAGACGAAACTCAGTCGGCAGTTTTTGCAGCCACTTCACTGCGGATAATGGATGTAAGTGCGACTGCATTTGGCGCAGCGCCAAGCGCGTTATTCAGCAATCATTGAAGCAAGCAAGCGAAAAGACTGCATCATATCGTTCGTGTATCGTTTGATTTCCCACCGAATGTTGCTCGACAACAAGTGGAAAACATGTTTGGCACCGGCAACGCGCTTAGCGCTGCCGCAGTGACACGCCCCATCATCTGCAGCGAACGAGACTGTATCACCCGTGCTCCCTTTTACCATTTGACCTCTCATTGCCCCTGCGACGCGCCAGCAACATCTCCGTTTGTCCCTGCGACGCTCCAGAGCTGTCCATTGGGTTCTCTGGCTAGAGGGACCGATGCATATCATATCATTGTTCAGAGCTTTTACGAAGAAGTCTGCCCATCGCTGGGCGGTCGCTCAAGTGTTCGCTTGACACCCCGCGGGGCCCACTCGGTAATCGCTCTGATTTATCGCAAATCGCATAATGTGTCCTGCTCATCTGATCTTTGAGACCTTTACTAATGCGGCTGCTCTCTGATCTTCAATCGTCAACAGAGTGGGGAGCTCCGGAATCCTTCTCACCTGCATGTAGCGAGAAACTCAGAGTATCCCTCCTACGAGCATTTTGACCGACTGCATTCGTAGAGTCCAGGCATCCAGGCGTAAGTTGAGGCAGGAAAGACCGCGCAATCGAAGTAGACTTAAAGGTGGGTGTTGCTCTCCTTCTTCGCTACTCTGCCGGTGCACTTGAATGCTGCTGAGGCCGCTCTTCCTCCTGCTCAGCTCTGATGCTCAGTCGCTCATCATATTTATTTCCCGACCCAACAGCATGTTCGTTACGTTGAGCGAGAATAAGGCATCAAAATCATTTCACTCTTCTGGATCATTTTCTGGATTCATAGACAATACGAACACCGACATCTAATGCTCTACTGACTCCTCGGTACCCAAGCTCTAATAAAACGTGAGGAACAGAGCAGTCAAGCCTGCGTGTTAGTGTTAGTTTATTTCTTAGTAACGTCCTTCACACATCAGATTGAGCGATTTTGAATGTAGGCCTTTCCTACCACTCACCTCCTTTCCGTATTAGAGAATCCCTCTGTCAACAGGGTACGTCACTTCACTGGGGAAAATTTTCTCAAAATAGGACCCTCCCTCACCCCTATAACCTCCTTCTCTGGTACGACTCCCTTGACCGTCCTACTTAGCTATCTACTAACTCATTACTTTTTTCCAACTTTCTTTCTACCATTTTTTTTTTTTGAAATTTTCCATATACGTTTCAATTTCCCTCAAAAATGTTGCCGTCGAAGGGACCGTGGAGAGGGTTATACCACAAGTGGAACGGAGAAAACTGCGAAGAGTCAAGGACCACCGAAATTTCTCAACTATTAGGTTGACCGGAAAGTTTCCCGCCATTGAATTGGTGAGGAATCCAACGGCCAAGCTTTGCGACTTTACCAATCTTCTCCAGCCCAGATTCAACAGTTGATTGGGCATGGCCGAGCATCGCTGCAAGTTCCCTGGTAGTGGCGTACGGATCCTCTTCCACGGTGGATTGCAGCAACTTCAAGTCTAACTCCATCGGCCGGCCGGACCTTGGAGCATCTTGGAGAGAAAAATCTCCTTTCTTGAACTTGGCCATCCAGGTCTTGCACGTGTCGTAAGAGATAGCGTCAGCGCCATATGTATCCACTATCTTGGCTTGGGCTTCCTTTGCGTTTAAGCCAGACTGATGAAGGAAAAGAAGACAGTGCCTCAGGTGCATCCTGTCGGGTTGAAACTTGGGCGGCATTTTGGAATCCAAATGCAAGCTGGGTGAGTGTGAGGTAGTGATGTGAAAGAGTCTCTTGCGTGCTTCATGCACACCCCACGATAAGTCATAAACATACATGCAAGGCTAATATGGTGCGATCAAACACGTGGCGGGAAACTTTCCGGTCAACCTAATAGATACGACTACGTCTGTCCTTCCAGCGACCAAATACGACCCCGGCGATTCTCCATCTATTCACAGTTCACTCATGGAAATCTTTAATGTCAATTTGTACATGAGAACTGTGGTCAAAATGGTTATTAATTATGCAGAATCAAAGAGGTTATTGATTAATTTCTGCTTGCAAAGGAACATGAATGACGCCTAGAAATAAATACAGCGTAAAGGTAATACTTAGGTTAACAAGTTGATCATCGCAAAACCTAGAAACGCAGTACCATGCAAAAATACTGACTGGTTGTGCAAAGAATGAAAGATTATATACAATAAACAATTAAACACAATTATTGCTTCTAGAAGGAGAGGTGGTATTTGTACTTGTTTTTGGAAGATGAGTTCCAACATTTCACTTTTCATCACCAAACGTAACCACTACACGGGCATTTGTTTCCTCCCTCTTCCTTTAACTTTTCCAGAATAAATCGCTCTTTTTCCAATGCCAACTTCTCTCGCTCGAGCGACACCTTGAGAAGTTCTTTCTTCAATTGGGAATTATTGATTTTCTCTTCATAATGACGCTGACGGAGGATGGCTGCCTTCATTTCCTCCATATACAACTCTCCACGGTGGTCATTAAAGGTGTTCAGTCGCTCCCGTGTATCCCTGAAGAGCAACAATACGATCAAGGACGGGAAAAATACGCAAAACATCCTCTAAACAAAACATTATAATTATTGTTTGGAGCTAAATGAGATCGTGTACAACAACACAACACCTACACGGAGCCAGAACGACGTCTCTTTTGAGGTCGCGAACGAGTGGCGCTATCCGATGTGCTCGGCACCGATGGCACTTCGACAGAAGCGGGAGGGCTGTCTACCTTGAATCTTATACAGTCGTACCCTTCATGTCCTGGTGAGACTGGCTCTATCTGAATACTTTTGCTAAGCCTTGACCTATCGAGAGAATGAATAAGCTCGTTTGCGACACACCTTTGGTTCTATGTTGAAATGGCAATCACTTGGACTTGGAGAGCAAACATCGCTCGGGTTATCTCGATTTTCTTGATTGTCGTACTCTTCGTCATCTGGAAATACACAGATCTCTATAAATAGTGAAGATCAAACAAGATTCTCGGAAGTTACTACTACACGCGCGACTAAGTTCAGAGGGACTAATAACGGTATACGATGAGATACTGTAATACATGGTAACTAACCCAGTGGTTTTTTCATTCATTCTGCATTTTTGTTCGCGCTTGTTCCACTCGCAGGAGCGAGAAACACGACAGGAAAAATGTTTGGTACCTTTTCCTCCAAGAAATGATAGATTTCAGGATGTAGCCTTGCTCACTGCTGGTGAAGGGGCATGTCAGGCGGGATAAATTTGATAAATTTGCCGCGGTACAAAACCGTTTCTCACCAGTTGCTGAAGCGTGGAGCAACAAGACATACATCGTTCGCACCACTCATTTCCCACCAACTGTTGTTGCTTAACTACTTTAACAATCGGTGAAGAATGGGTCTGTTCACTGCGGATGAAGGGATGTGTCAGGCAGGATGGGCCAAACCCATTCCGCCTGACACGCCCCTTCATCCGTAGCGAACAAGACCGTACAAGACTTCTCCTGCTAATACGGAGAAAGTTTCCCACACATGCACGATCGTGCTACGGCAAGATATGAGTCTTGATCCGTTGAGTGTCCAACAGAGACAACCGAAAATTGCGACCACAGTTCGCCCAGTTAGGGGCACGTTGAACGATGGGAATTCCAATAAAGGGGGAAGGGAGGGCATTTAGTCGCTGGACAAAGCAGGGAGTCGTATTCGCCTTTCAGAAAAATGTTTTTGGTTGTAAGCTTCCGCGATTCACGTGCGCTATACACGCCAGCCCCCCTCCCCCCCCGGCTTTTCCTCTTTTGGCGAGGCAGTTTTCTGGAGTTAGAAGCAAACAAAAAATTTGAAGAGAAAAACTCCAAAAAAGTGGGAAGGAGCTGAAATTCAAATTGAGAATTTCAGGAATGTGGTAGGTACCAAGGGGCAAGGGATCGCACAAAGTAGGAACTCCACAGGGGGGGGGGCATATTTCGAGAAAATTCCCCCAAACGGATGCGCCATAGGGGCAGAGAACTGTGTACAACCCAAAAGACTATGCCTTCCCCATTCTATACTTGCTTTGTTGTAACAGATCCTATAAATTTGAAAAAAAAATACAAAAAGTACAGTAGGTCTTCATCTACGGGCAAGGAACCAGCCCTTGAAAAGCATAGGAGTGTTGTTCGATTAAACAAACTGAAGGCATAACACTTACAAGCACACTAACACTTACAATTGCATGACCTTACACTTACATGCACTTAACACTTCATGGCCAGGCAACCTTACAAGGGAAGGATACCAACTCGTCCTGGCCATTCAGAATGAGATGTATACTCCTAGAAGCGTCTTCGGACGCTGATATCAGATCTGACTTCCAAATCTGCTAAACGATTCTGGGTGAGGAGTTACGGACCTTTTTTGCTACTGTGCTTAACCATTGCGGTGCGCCCCCCTGCTTATGCTTCGCGCTTGTAAACCCTTCGTGACCCAACCGCCATCGTGGCTCGGTGGCGCAGTAGGTAAGTGGATGGACTCACAGTCGTGCGATGGGGGTTCGAGTCCTTGATGCGTTTCGTAGTTTTGCTTTTTCTTGAAACGTGCGCTCAACACTTGGGAAGTAGTTTTGCATACCTGTACGACCACCAAGACCCCTCCCTGCTGCTTATTAGACCCTATGTCTGAATTTTGAGAGGGGTTTCATTTTGACTTCAGTGAAAGCATTCATTTTCATAGCGTTGGTATGGCAGCTTTATTTAACGCATATATTTTTGTAATAATGCGACTTTTTTCGCACTCGAACGGTAGAAGGCAATGGCTTCATTCACTTAAACCACACGCATACTTGATATGGACTTGTATAAAGTGAAGTCCATAAGTGGGCAATGGGTACAAGCGAACTACCTTCTCTATCGGGACCTTTACATCCCCAAAGTGACGTAGCTGTTCTTCTAGCTCCTAGGGAACTTTCTTCATCGCCATCACACGTGATCAGAGAGGATCCGTATTGTCGTCCTCTACGAGCTATCTTCCTCGCAGTCAATTGCAAGGTTGTCGTACAGTGTGTCGACAACCTCGTAATTGACATTGACACTCATTCGTACCCCAGAAAACTCAAAAAAACCTTTTTCGCTGAAACGTTGCCTATAGGTGTAATTCGATGCCCAGATCACGAATATCACATTCGTTTCGAGCGCTGGAGTCATTTGGCGCCATTCTGCGCCAAGTTGGCGCCCACCATTTTTTTCACCAAAGTCGATGAAAACTTGCATATGGGGGTTAATTGAGGTCCTGATTACGGAACCAGCATTCGCGCTAGGCGCTGGTGCGATTTGGCGCCATTATACGCCAATTTGGCGCCATATTGGCGCATCATGGCGCCAAATCGCGCCAACGCTGGAAACCTGTGTGATATTCTTAATCAGGACCTCAATTAACCCCCATATGCAAGTTTTCATCAACTTTGCAGGAAAAAAGTGGTGGGCGCCAAATTGGTGCATAATGGCGCCAAATGACGCCAGCGCTCAAAACGAGGGTTAAAACCGTGATCAGGGCATAGAATTGCATCTGTAGACAACGTTTCAGCGAGAAAATTTTTTGAGCTTTCTGGGGTAGGAGTAGTTCAACAGTGCCTAATATTACTTTAGTTATGGTAGGCACGGTCGCAGAGGTGTTGGCTGATATTGTGTGCGTGGGTGATTAGAGCTACCGAACATGTTGAAACTTTCGTTGCCCACACACGTCATTTTATAGGATGGTGAAATTTCGCAGATCACGTACTTCAGGCAGATATGCATGTGTATTTGGTCCCTTGCATGAACGAGTTAGGTAGAAGTGTAATTTTTCACGAAAATCGTTCGCGGGGCTCAATAAAGAGCAGGGAGTTGTCTTGGTGGTCGGACAGGTATGCAAAACTACTTCCCAAGTGTTGAGCGCACGTTTCAAGAAAAAGCAAAACTACGAAACGCATCAAGGACTCGAACCCCCATCGCACGACTGTGAGTCCATCCACTTACCTACTGCGCCACCGAGCCACGATGGCGGTTGGGTCACGAAGGGTTTACAAGCGCGAAGCATAAGCAGGGGGGCGCACCGCAATGGTTAAGCACAGTAGCAAAAAGGTCCGTAACTCCTCACCCAGAATCGTTTAGCAGATTTGGAAGCCAGATTTGATATCAGCGTCCGAAGACGCTTCTAGGAGTATACATCTCATTCTGAATGGCCAGGACGAGTTAGTATCCTTCCCTTGTAGTCCCTGGCATCCTTTTAGCTCATGATTATTGGGGAATTTATCCTTTTCTGTTGGCCGACTAATTCACACATGAAGTGCTATATACGGAAATGGCTGAAGAGGAACTGGAAACTCCTTGAGATTTCAGCACGCTTACACGCTAGTATCTAAAAGAATTCGCTAAAGAAGAACGAAACAGCAACTAACAGCAATACAGTGTTCATAAGCTAGCACATAGCACATTTTTCGAGTTTTTTTTATTTTCTACTTTGCACTATATAGGGGAAGTTCGGGTGCACTAAGGAGACTGCAAGTTATTTAACTGCTCTTGAATAAAGTTCCTTCTACGCTGTTGGCCAGCGCTTCGCAAAAAAAAGTTGTACAACTAAATTTTACACGCGAGCTATTTCGAGACGTAGCGCGACGGATCTCACAGATTTCATTGTTTTTCTCTGCATCCAAAGGAAGGATTTGTCGAAAGCCAAAAACCACTGTACAGTCGTTTCAGCTGCAGACACTGGAGGCGTGTCATGGAGACCTATTTAGCGCGGCGCCAGCCCATACTCCACCATGAGGCGGGCGGCGACAACAATTGCTGGAAAACAAGCTGACGCTAAATCCCCCTCCCCCTGACAAGCCCCAGTTCCTGCAGCGAAAACGACCATGGGTGACCAGCATACTCTTTCGAAGGGTTTATACTTCTCCGCAATGCAACACGCATAGCCATAACATTTTGATGGCATAAATAAATAAAAATGGAAAAGCAGAAGTGAAGAACAAGAGATAACTCACGCATGCCCTCTACACCATTCGTTGGTTTCTCAAAGTTTGCAAGGATGATCTCATGAAGTTTTTGAAGATAGCCGGGTAGAAATGGCAGCTCACCATCTCCAGAACCATTGTTATTCTCCAACTGAATCGACGGTAATTTTTCAAATGTCTAAGGGTAAAGTTCTAAGAGGAGAAGAACTACTGAGGAGACTGACCTCAGCCCGTATATAGGAGCGAACTCTTTTGATGTCTGCCTTTATCCGTTCCTCTATTTGCTTCTCTGTCCTATCAACTCCGAGGTTGCTAACTTCCTGAGCAAAGTACCGCAGTAACGTTCGCTTTTCTGACGGGCCTCTCTTTCCATCTATAATGAGAGTAAAACAACATTCCGATAAAAGAAAGAGTAAATTACAAGTAAATAAACAGTAATAACTGAGTTGAAAAATAATGAGAGTATCAGAAAAAAATCAACGAATAGTGAACTGTACACTGATCACTGGCGCAAAACATACAAAAGAGCTCACTGTTAAATTACTTTCAGTGAGTTCCACTCTAATAGAGTCGAAGAGCCTATTTGAACTGCCCTACGAATATACCGTAAAAATGGGTTGTGCTGCAGTTTAGCAGAAACTAAAAGAAAATATAATGGGTTCCGCTCTACACAGTATGTAGCCTAGATCTCGGAAGCATGTTCGCGTCCATTTAGTAAGCACTCCTACGTGATGGGCACTCCTACGCCAGCGACACCGACTAGGACTAGGAAAGTATAG